TGAGTTTGTGTTGGTTGATGAAAACTGCTTGTGAAAACCGGGTAATGAATCCCCGTAGGCCCAGATAAGACTTGGGTTATGAAAATGTTAGTTAACACCCACTAAGTTTTTGAAAATGATTTTGAAAATTTTATAATGTTTTTTGGAAAATTCAAAATTTCTGTAAAATCAAAGTGGGGTGTTACATCAACTGAAGAGGAAAAGGTGAAAATGTGGGTGCAAATCCATCAATTGTCTCTTCACTGGATAGCTTATGAACCGGGGCACAAGATCGGGAGGATTATAGGAAATGTGTTAAATGTTTTGGTCCCTGGTAATGGGAATAACGCAGGCAATATGCTGAAGGTGCTGGTGGAAGTCAATTTACGAGAGCCACTACTGAGGGGGACATTCATATCTCTTGGAGAAGAAAAAAAATGGGTCGACTTCAGGTATCAAAACTTGCAAAATTTTTGCTTTTATTGTGGTCTGGTGGGACATAGTGAAAAAAATTGTAGGGTTAATACTGAGGATGTCTCAGATAATAATGCTAAAATAGGCCAATTTGGGGAGTGGTTGAGAGCTCAAGGTCCTAGTTATTTTGAATCCAATAGGAATAGGTCTTTTCCAGGATCTAGTACCCCCAGTGATACTCCTATATCCCCTAATTTAGAAAGGGTGAAACAACATATGGGTGATAACAGCCTAGTGGATAAAGGGAGTGAGGAAGTTGAGTGTACTAGAGTGGAGGTCATAGGTTGTGAGGAGGGCCAAGGGAGTGGGACTCAGGTTGGGAAAATTGTGGAAACAGAACTTATTCAACCCAAACCTATTCTTGTTCAATCTATCATGGAAAGAGTGAATATTTCTGATCACCCAAAGTTTGTGGAAGTTAACATTCAAAATGGCAATGTAGAGGAAGAGAAAGGCCAAAGAAGAAAAAAGATTAAAGTTAGAAAATCCAGAATAGGGAAGGAGATTATAAATGCTGATATGCTTGTTGATAATGATGTTCAAGAAGTTAATGACCCTTCTGCTATAAAAAAAGGTTGCAAAAGAAATCTTTCTGTAAATGATATTAATTATCTTGATATTCTAACTTTGGAAAACCAGCCTAAAAAGTCAAGAACTTCTGGTAAACTTATGATTTCTGAGGTGGAGAAAATCAGCCCTAACTGGTCCCAAAGTTTCCAATGAAAGTATGTGTGTGGAACTGTAGAGGTCTGGGAGGACCCTCTATTGTGTCCCATTTGAAAGAGGTTTTGAAAAACCACCTCCCAGATTTTGCTTTCTTATCAGAAGTAAATAAAAAAAGAAAAATTTGTTACAACAATCTGTAAAAAAACTTAAAATAGATAATAGAAGGTTGTATGTTAATCCTATTGGTACTAAGGGTGGTATGTTTCTTTATTGGTCTAGTAAGATTGCTATTTTGGAGGTTACTTCTCTTGACTTTTGTGTGCAAGTTAAATTTTTGTATGAAGGGAGTCAGGATGCCTATTGGGGGTTTTTGTGTATGCTAGCGCAGATGTTGAAACCAGGAAACTCCAATGGAGCACTCTGATTAGGCATAGTCTGAGATGGGGTAGGATACGGTTTGTAGAAGGTGATTTTAATGATATCCTGTCCAATCAGGATAAGAGAGGGGGGAGGCTAAGGGATCATAATAGCTTCAGGGATTTTCAAAACTTTGTGAATACCATAGGGATGGGGGAGACTAGAATCAGTGGTCATAGGTTCACTTGGGCCAATAACAGGCAGGGAGAGAACTTTATTGAGGCCCTTCTGGATAGAGTTTTCTTATCCCCTGATTGGCTTATTAGATACCCCAATGCTTTTGTTAATCACATCACCATGTCTTCATCAGATCATAATATGCTTACTTTGCAAAGTGATAATACCTCTGAAGTCAAAAGATCCAGATTTGTTTTTGATCCAAGATGGATGAAGTCAGATGGGTATAAGGAGCAGGTGGAGAAGGCTTGGAATCTACCAGTGAGAGGCCCTGCTCTACTAAAAATGCAAGAAAGAATCAGAAACATTAGACAGGCTCTTATCAAGTGGAAAAACACTCAGGAACATAACTCAGCCAAGTGTTGAAGATGTGTTAAGAACAGATAGTAGAGCAGGAGAAGTTGGGTGGGGAGAAAGATTGGGCTGAATGGCATAAATGGAAGAATTTGCAGAGGGTAGCTTATAATGAAGAGGAAAAGTACTGGAACCAGAAATCAAGGATTCAGTGGCTCAAGCATGGGGACAAGAACACCAAGTTCTTCCAAGCCAGTGTAAAGCAAAGAAGAAGCAGAAACAACCTAGAGAATCTCATTAGAGCTGATGGTGTCAAATGTAACAATACACAGGAGGTCCTTCAAGAGGTGTTGTCCTACTTTGGAGATTTATTTACATCCTCTACTCCTGATGTTGCTTCATGTAATCTGGAAGGAATTAAAAGATCAAGTACTGATGAGATTAACCAAAAGCTGGTGGCTGATGTACAGGAAGTTGAAATCAATGAGGCTTTGATGAGTATGGAGAAACAAAAGGCCCCTGGGGAGGATGGATTAACAGCTTTCTTCTATCAGAACTCTTGGACCATTGTGAAAGATCGTCTTTGTGTTGCCATTAAGAATTTTTTTGAGAGAGGTAGACTCCCTTCCAATCTTAACCATACTATCATAACTTTCATCCCCAAAATCCTTAATCCTACTAAAGTGGCTCACTATAGACCCATTTGTCTTTGCTCAGTCTGTTACAAAATCATTGCCAAAATTATAGCCAATAGACTTAAAGCTGTCCTTTCTCATTGCGTGTCTAATTCCCAATCAGCTTTTGTTCCTGGGAGGCAAATATTAGACAATGTGGTCATAGCTAATGAGTGTATTCATTTCCTTAATGGTAGAAGAAAAGGTAGGAATATCTTTATGGCAGTCAAGGTCGATATGGCCAAAGCTTATGATAGGGTAGAATGGGATTTCCTAGTGAGAATCATTAAAAGGATGGGGTTTCATGATAGGTTTGTTCAGTGGATTTTTACTTGTATTAGCACTACTTCATTCTCTTTCAACATTGCAGGGTCTTCCAAGGGGTTTTTGAAACCATCTAGGGGATTAAGGCAAGGGGATCCATTGTCTCCCTATTTATTTATCCTTCTTTTTGAGGCCTTATCCATTCTGCTCAATCAGGCTTGTAGTAAGAATTTGTTTCAAGGTATTAAAATCAGCCCTCATTCTCCAGTTGTCTCTCACCTCTTTTTTGCAGACGATGCAATATTATTTTGTAAGGCTGATCTTAATCATGCCTATTCTATTTTGAATATCTTCCAGGAGTATGGCTCTGCTTCTGGCCAACTTGTGAATTTGACCAAATCTTCTATTTTTTTCTCTAAAAATGCTAAGGATGACATTAAAATTGAAATCTGCCAGATCCTAAATGGAATTTCCAGTGTGAGATACTCTAAGTACTTGGGACTCCCCTTAGGGATAGTGTTGGGTTCTGTTAGGAATGTCAAACAACATGCACAATATTGAACTTTATCGAAATAAATCCTAACGCAGCGGAATCTATAGTTAGGATATGGACGTTTACCTTTTAAAATTTTTGCCGACTCTGAGACGATGTAGAGTACCGTTGATGAAGTTCGTCTGAATACCACAACCTAATGGGCGGATAGGTTTGGCCTTTAGTCGATTCTAATCGACACGTCAAATTGTCATCGGTCGCACGGTGGCTTGGTCTCAGCGTCGGGTTGCAGAGGGCAGCTCGCGGGCACTGGTCGCAGGTGGCAGCAAACGCGCGTCGGGCGCTGGGCTTGACGTGCGGGTTGTTGGGCTACGCGGACGGATGCTGGCAGCGAGCGTGTGTGCGCGTCGGGCGCTGAGCGAGACGAGCGGGATACAGGCGAACGCGGATGGACGCTGGGACGGCGTGCGCGTGCAGGGGCATCACTCCTATGTCGAGGTGGACTAGCGTTGGGCGTGTGCGGTCATGCGTGCGTGCGGGGCAAGACTCCTAGGCGCGCAAGGTATCGCGCGCGTACTTCTCACGCACAGTGCACAAACGCGATGCAGGCGGCGATGTACACGAACCCCTCGGCAACACAAGAGCAAGCAGGTGGTGAACGGGCGGTGCGCTGGGACTTCGCGTGAAGCTGTTGGGCGTCGCGATGTGCCTGAGCGGTGCGCGACTGCGTGCTGGGCGTGCGGTTGCGCTTCGGCTGGACTCGGGCGGTGACCGGCGGCAGTTGGCGATTTCCGGCAATCACTCATGGCGGCGGACGATGGTGATTAGATGATAAAGATGACCGGAATAAATATATTAGAAAGCTCAATATATTGTACCAAAAAGCCTTCTAACGGATTACCTAAACACCTACTTCGAAAACTTGGTGGAGCGTTTAATCGAATCTCCCTAACTCTCGAACGATGCTATTTCTCACGTGTATGTAGATGAGAAAATCGGCCAACATAACATGTAGGAGTCGTTGGGACATGGTTTATTTATAGTCTCCATTAGGGACCTTAACGAGGTGCTAAATATGGGCTTATTCCATTAGGCCTAGGAATCTTAATTCTACTCCAATACTAATCTAATGTAGGAAGGAAATCTCCTACTAATCTCCTCCTTCTAGAAGACTCCTAAGTCTCCTAACACTAGAGAAGATCCTTGTAGGAATATCTTTCCTAATTAAATTAATACTCATGGAATAGAATTAATTCCTAATTTAGGAAGCCTAATTTTACTCCAATTAATAATATAATGTAGGAAATATATTTCCTACTAATCTCCATCTTCTAGAAGACTCCCAAGTCTCCTAATCCCAAGAGTAGATTCTAGTAGGAATTTTATTCTCCTAATTAATTAATTAATATGGAATAAAATTAATTCCTATTTAATGGAATTAAATAATAAAACATCCCACTAGAGTAATATTATTGTTCTCTCCTTTTAGCCACTATTTTATCAATAAAATCGAGCCTCCATGATTAAATAATTTTAATCGGATTGATCGATTTACCTCCCTATGTTTATGATATAACGTTCGTTGATTAATTAAATTACTGACAAAATAATTAATCAACTTCTTATTCATTTCCGAAATTAGTACCACTCAGACTTTAACCATTATGTCAGACAATCGTCTACCTGCAGGGTTTAACATAATGTTCCTTCCTGAGCTCATTTCGGGGACGTCATTAATCCAGCACACTGGAACATAGTGACCGTAAATAATTTATAATAGCACATCATATAACTATTCTTACTTACCAAAATACCTCGTATGTCATCCTATTAAAATAGGAATCACTTGGTAAATCAACTAAATAAGAAATAAAAATATATGCCTATTTTATATTATCTTACAGCTTAAGAGAACGCATCAATCACTGAAGGTCTAGGTTACGACAACGGTCAGTGAGTCTCATATCCTTATCCTTCCGTGGTCCTATTCAACACTTAACATAAGTGCTAGTGTAATCCTTCAGTCAAAGACCAACTGAATCAAGAATACACTACAGTCTTTTTCCAAGTGGGGTCTCACTGCCAGTCTAGACTGTGAACGAATAGTTTAGTCTTATAAGGAACCGATAGGTGATCTTTCCATTCAAAACTCTTCGAACCACACTACCTCAATATAAGACATGGAGTATGTATTGCATAAATAAATAAACTGCAAAGATATGTACTTTGACCGAAACATGATTTCCAGATCAAAATGGAATTGATAGAATCTGCAAAACATAGCTTTTACAGCATACCCTAACAATCTCCCACTTATGCTTTATAAGCTCATGGCTAAACATAATAACCACAATTTCTTTCAATCTAATTCTCAAAGACTAGTCTGCTATGTCGCCCTCTTGGCAACAACGACTTCTCCTCGTCAAACGATTTCTCGTATCAGGTGGTACTTGCGCTCTATGTGTTTACTCGCTTTATGAGTCCGTGGCTCCTTCGAATTTGCTACTGCTCCGCTGTTATCACAGAACACTGTGATTGCAGCGGGCAAACTCGTTACCACATCAAGTTCGAGGAGAAAATTCCTGAGCCAGATAGCTTCTTTCGCTGCCTCTGAGGCTGCTACATACTCAGCCTCCATGGTTGAGTCCGCCACGCATTTCTGCTTGACACTCCTCCATACTATGGCTCCTCCTCCTAAAGTAAACACAAACCCTGAGGTTGACTTGCATTTGTCCCGGTCTGCTTGGAAGTCAGAATCGGTGTAACCCAACGGAAGCAATTCATCTTCCTGGTAAGTCAACATGTACTCCTTAGTCCTACGTAGGTACTTGAGTATATGCTTTACCGCAGACCAATGTTCCGGTCCTGGATTACTCTGATATCTTGCTACCATGCCCACAGCATAACAAATATCAGTTCGCGTGCATAACATAGCATACATGAGGCTTCTTACTGCTGATGCATAAGGAACTGCCTTCATGTCCTCTATCTCTTGAGGCGTCTTCGGGGACATCCTCTTAGATAGTGGTATTCCGTGCCGAAAGGGTAAATCCCCTTTCTTGGAATCATGCATGTTGAAACGCTTTAGAACAGTGTCTATGTATGTGGATTGGGATAGGCACAACTTTCTCTTCTTTCGGTCGCGAATGACCTTAATTCCGAGAGAACATGTCCCACTTCACCCAAATCCTTCATATCAAACTGCTTGGATAACCATACTTATACGTCTGATAACATCTTCACACTGTTTCCAATAAGAAGAATATCATCCACGTACAACACTAGAAACACCACCACGTTTCCATCACTTTTCTTGTATACACAGTGCTCATCCGGACATTGGGTAAATCCATACGATTGGACAACCTCGTCAAAACGGATGTTCCAAGACCTCGAAGCCTGCTTCAGTCCATAAATGGACCTCTTCAGCTTGCAGACCAGATGCTCTTGGCCCTTTGCAATGAATCCTTCTGGTTGCTGCATATAGATGTCCTCGTCCAAATTCCCGTTAAGGAAAGCGGTCTTAACATCCATTTGCCAAATCTCATAATTCATATGAGCGGCTACAGCCAAGAGAATCTTGATGGATTTGAGCATGGCTACCGGCGAAAAGGTTTCCCCATAATCGATCCCTTC